TACACTGTCTCTCCATCCACACGGAGTCACGCGAAGGCTAGTACAAATGCGGATGGCATACCGACTCAACCCCCTCCGATGCACCCTCATGTTAGGGGGAAGGATCTAAGATCTAGCAGGGACTACAAACCTAAACCCCGATTCTTTGCATTCTACTTACATAACCAACAAGATGGTATCTAATTTTAATGACCGTTTTTTGAGACTCCACATTTGAGATACATTTTTTTGTATTATTATTATATGTTTTATTGTAAGTGATCATGTTGTTAACTGTACATGGTGTATGCCGTCAATAAAAACATATTCTATTCTATTCCCACAATAGCAAATCAGTACACAAAACATTTTAAAACACTAATAATAAAAGAAAACTTACACAGAAAAATCTAATCTGATCGGTTTTATCTCTATGAGCAACATTTATATATCTGCATATCAGACAGCCAATAAGTATTTCACTTAGTTCTCATGATTAAATTCCCAGAATAACAAATACCAAACACGGACCCAATAAAATTAACTACCACAATCTTTCACAATCATTCAAAATATCACAATTTATAATGGTGTAGACAAATCTGTTGCTTCTCAAGCGACGAGTCGCAATTTCACCGAACAATCCAAATAAAACTCCTTAACACAAAAACATGATTATTCTCAATTCCTCTTGCATTCCTATTATTAAAAACCGTTTAACTGCTAGAGCGATTCACTTTTTGACATCTAAAAACCGTCGGCATAGATTAAAAACGCGACATAACAGTACAAATTGTGTATAGGAATGTTATGTCTACCTCAATATTACCTGTTCTTGGACTAAATAATGTATTTGACGGGTTTCTGATAGGCCATTGATGAGTTTAGATCAAATAACTGTTTGTTTATACTCTTACATTCTAGGTTATTAGATACTCAAAATCTGAATTATACTCTAGAGTCAAATAAATATTTGGCTGTGCATAATTTGTTGTATTTTGACAATTATATACCTGTTTTAGGTTTGCGGGTTTTAGTTTGTACATATTACAGGTGTAGGTTTGCATTGTGATGATTTTCATTATACAACTGGAATATTAATAATAATAAATCTTTATTTCAGACCCAGTGATCCATATTAAATTACAAATTACAGAAACAGAAATATGATTACAAATAAAAATATTACTTAATATAATATAATATGGCTTTCTATTACATAGATTCAGGTGGCAATATCCAGCCATCGTCTATATGTGGGGCAATAGTGCGCAAATTCTGTTTACATCTCCAGAATATACAAAATAGCTCGGTGAAAATAATAAGAATACTCATATCTTATGTCTTAACTTAAGAAGTTACTAGCTATGCGGGCACTATCTATGTTAACAATAAAGGATTTTCTATTCTATTATATGCCGCTGCAAATACTTTACCAACATGATCATTAAAAATGTTCAATTTCTGAAAAAAAAAACTACCAAATTAAACGTCGTGAAAATTTGATGGAACCCCGTGTAAATTAACCCTTTCAAACACTAGAAAATCGTCACTGACAGTCCACTAACGACGGAGCTCACGTGGAACTTAAGTACGAGCTCTTTTTTGAAGTTATTCAAAAGTAAAACATCAACAGACTGCATTAGAGCAATGCATTACTATGTTCACTTTCCCTTTCGGAACGAATGCTAAAAAATATGAGCTACAAGCGATATTAATTTCCAAATAATAGTGTTTCTCAAACATTTCACATTAAAACCTATAATTATTTATTCATGAACGTCTCTCATTGCGTATAATTGAAATGGATTGCCGTTAATTCATAATGATACACTTTAAGCGGCGAGGAAACAGTAAAAAAATTGAGTTGCTAATCATAATAGCGATCAATGAATAAATTTTATGCGCACACGCACCCGCTCCAATACAAAGATGTACTTTAATATTGTTAAATTAATAAGAACACTTTCAGATTACATAAAATAAGGATTGTTAACTTTCATAACGTCTCGTTAAATTACTAAAGTATATAGTTATATAGAAATCGTTAACTAGCAAGGCTTTTTTTTGTGGAAAAAAAAGTAGTAAATCACAGTAGTTAATTAAATAAATACTCGTAATAGAATAATATTACACACTAATAATATATTGTTGTGCTGGAATTTTGTACAAAATTATCGCTCATTCCGAAGCCAATTTCAATTAGCGATATGTATCTCAAATTGCTGGGTTCACGGTGCAGCAGACTGGTGGAGGTACTGTGCTCTACACAGACGAGTTATACGCTTAAAATTAGATTGTTATTTATTGTTCAATATTTATTTAATTAATATAGAAGTATTTAAAAAAAATTGAGATGTTTTATAAGCTGTATGGACTAAGATTTCTTTGTTTTCAAAGTGAGAATAGACATTTTTAACCGACTTAGAAAAAATCGTCTCAATCCTTTACTTGTAAGGGTTTATTCGCAAGGAAATTCCAAATATTGTACAGATAAGATCAGTAGCTTCTTTGTTATCCTGAATAATTACTGAGTTCGCACTTCATTTGTGACTAATTATATATTTAATACGACCTTGAACTTTTGAAGAATTGTGATCCGCCTTTTTTTTTTGAAGTTTACAGTAATCATAATACGAGTTTTTTGTTTAATGTTTTCCGATACATATTAATTTTATACAAAAATAAATAGATAAATATATGACAACTGTACACAAACGAGTCCAAGACGATACTCGAAATAGAAAGTTACGAGCTAAGCCTTGCTTGTAAAAATTATCTGAATATATCTAATATAGATGAATTTTGTAGTGAAAGATCACTATTGAAAAGTAGCAAGTGTACACAGACTCTGGTATTGAAGTTAATGAAACCGTAATTAACCAGTAGTAATTAGAGGGGCATTTCTCTAATTGGTTAACAAGGAGACCTGACATTGAGACTGTCTCATAAACTTTCAACGTGCAATTATTTAAAACTAATTTACTATTCAAAACAAAGATAAGTTTTTTTTAATAGATAAATAAATAAATATTCATAATGAATATTGCTTAAAAAATGACCCCATGACCTTTCGCAATCCGGGCGACAGCGGGCAAAAAAAATCACGTTTGTTGTATGGGGGCATTGGCGTAGCTACTAAGGGGCTAGGTGGGGCAGTGCCCCGGGGCCCTCCAGCTCAGGGGGCCCTCGAATCTTTACCAGAAAATCTCAATCGAACTCAACTTTTGAAAATTTCTCCCATCTTCAAAATAAAAATGACAGGTGACAACTCGAGTTTAATCATGGAAATTCAGTTGTGGGTAATTCCAAAGTTATAATTAGGTACCCTCCTTTGCGTCGCGCAGTCGGGTAAAAAGGGAATTCTCGTAAATTATTTGTGTGGGTTGACAGTGTTATTAATGTTTTCATCAATTTGTTGGATATCAATATCTGCATATTATTATTTATCGATATGCGTTTTTGTGATTCGCGATTGTGAACTTCGAGTCAAGATTTTTTTTCGAGAATGGTTAAAAAGTTATTGTATCAGGACCAGGAGTAAGTAAGCGTATGTCAATCAATTTTTTGTACTGGTCCATACAAAAGTTCAATTTTATTTGATTGTAGTCCGTCAAACCGTCAAATGTGGTAACACTGGCGGCGATAAAGTGTTTGCCGGGGATTCCCCTACGACGCCTTGTATCGTATCATTTTCATTCATTCACGTTTCGCTTTCTTTTTACTTGTAACGTTGTCAGTGAACAGTGAGTACCTACTTGAGTACAATCTTACATAAATATTGCATAAATAAATTAGAAAACTAATATTATGGACAAAAAAAAAAGAATCCCGGTGGTGCATTTAAACGCAAACAACGCCAAGAAAGAGGAGAAAGTAAACAAAAATTGCCCAAAATTGACAAGTTTTTTAGTCAGCCTTCTGAAAGTATCTTCTGGATCAAATATTTCTATTGATAATTTTTGTAAATAGCTTGCATGGCGATAGGTTAAATAACAGTAAGCTGGTGCAACGTATCTATGATTAAATAAATATATAATAAACCCTTGAATCTTTTCTATTTCGTTTTATTGCCCAATACCTACACCAAGTATAAAAATAATTGTAATTTATGTTGTTAGTGTTTAATAGTTTTATTACCTGCCTATGCACGAAAAAGAGCTGATGATAAAGTTGTTAGCATTTTTAAAGTATTTGTATATTTAATGATTTTACTTCAAAAAACCTTACCAGTTTTGATAGAAGTGGGCCCCAATTTTTTTATTTGCCCCAGGGCCCTAGATTACCTAGCTACGCCACTGTATGGGGGCCTCAAATATTTATTTTATTCTGTTTTTTTTAGTATTTGTTATTGAGCGGCAACAGAAACACATCATCTGTGAAAATTTCAACTGTCTAACTTTCACGGTTCATGAAATACAGACAAATAAGCAGACATCGCAGTCTTAGTAATAGGGTTGGCGTTTTGCCCTTTGGGCACGGAACCCTACAAAAGTTTTTAGATACTTATAATTATTGAATGAAATTTATATTTATGATTAAATTATAAAATTCACACATATCATATATTAATTAAGTTGCGCTCTCAATTGGCGTGCTTTATAAAATAAATTTCATGTCACAATTCTAAAATCTCATTTATCTATTCTGATTACTGAGGCTAAACTATCGTCCCGTAAGGAGAGGTAGTCAAAGTTCTACTCAATAATGTCAGTTTCTCATTAAAGAATAAATTTAAGAGACTCGAAAATTCAACCTATATATACAAATTTCACATGATTAGAAGTTATTATAGGCTGTGTCTTTTTTCTACTTCCGACAAACATAATTATATGGACTATCTAGATTTTGAAAATATTGACTGCTAGATGTGTTGAATAATAAATTCTGAAGAGCTTTCCTAGCACTAGAGCTCTGAGTGAGTTTTTCCGGCTGATTTTCATATTAGAGGGGGAGGCCTTCACGTTGGGATCATGTGCAGCCTACTGCAGTCCGACTGCAAGTTCAAGTACACTAGTGAGACACCATAGACCGGCAGAGTCGTCTCAGACACCACGCTGTACGGTCGCGTATGCTCGCTCAAGGCGCGCCGCTCGCGGAATCGTGTTGCAACTTCGACAATTCGATTTTCAAATAGTGTTTGCAGAATTATTTTATTTTTTGAACATTGATGCGTCTAGCGGTCACGATGAGGAACTATTTAAGGTGAGTGTTGCTATGTTGTGCTTTAGCCCTTGACCAAGGGTTACGGCTGGGTAATGCACTCTGCCGTCATAAAAAGTCTGTAACACGAAGAATGGCTGGAAACCTACAGTTGATAATTATTTTTAATGGCTTCAAGCATTATGGTTTTTTATTAATATAGTTTCTAAAGGTTAGATTGAATTGTAACAATTTTCTTTCCTATTTGTTGTTCTCTTATTAAAAATATTAGTTGATGTACAGAAGTGTAGTTGATGTAGTTCTAACAATGATGTAGTTTTAAAACTGATTTAATATATAATATGGAGTTTTAATATTTTTCAAAACAACCTTTCATTTTAGATTAGGTATCGGCTTTAAGTTTTCACGGCAATAAAATCAATTTTTTACTTTGATTGCATCAGGAAATATTAAAATAAATAATCAAAGAAGCAAAATCTTAATGAATGTATTGTACTCATGAGAACAGTATTTTACCAATTTGAGCGACAATAATAAATTTCCTTATTGATCTAATTTATTTTCGTTTGATATACTTATTCTTAACTAATATTTTCATATACCTAAGCAAGTTAAGATTTTAGATAAAACGCTATAAAAATATCAAGTTATTGAAAAATATAGATGTTATAAGTTTTGTCATCCTCTGATTTTTCATCAGAAACTAACTTTTGATTTATTTAAACACTTATATATAATGAATAAAACAAAAATGGAAATTAAATAATTATAACTTTGTTTAATAGCGTTGTACAATAGACGGCCTTATTGCTAATCAACGATCTCTTCCAGGTTATCTTGCGGTTATCTTCTACACTTTGATTAAAAACGTATTGAAATAAAAGTTTTATTCCAAGCATTAATAACATAATATCCAAGCCAATTGTGGCTTAACAAATACTAAAGAGCACAGTGCTCAACTTGTTACTCGATTAATATATACACAAAAAGTATGATTATATGTATAACTTACTAGCTTTCCGCCAGGGCTTCGTCCACGTGGTCCTATATTATATATATAAGCTTCCTCTTAAGTTACATAAATATTTAATTTGAATGAACGGACATTTAAATTCAATATTATTATTTCAGTTTAGTTTGTTACAATCATTTGTGAATGTCGAAAACTACTCCACATCGACTACGTAATATCGAAAAAACCTTATTAAAAACCGTTCTGTACTTTAAAAGATCTCAGTGTGCAGACAGCGGGGAATGACAGTTTTATACTATGAATATGACAACTGATTCATTCTTTTTTTTTCACTTTGACATCAGCACAAGAATCTCATATATGTGTGTAAATTGTGTTTACGTTTTGTACAAATGTGCGGTGATACAGATTTGCTGTTACCCCAAGTATAATCAAAGTCACAACTCTCAAACAGCCTAAGAGTGCGTATTTTAAAATTGTAAGCCATAAACGGTGCGTATATTGCATTCACGCGCCCACCGCACTCTTGCGCACAATAGATGAGATCTCCCATGAAGATAATGAGAGTGAAGAGCTATCATAATCAACCAAGTATAATTACTTGTTACTTGAACAATTTAAAGTTAACACTCTCAGGTTAACGCTACTTCCCATTAATAATATAAATAGGAAATCATCATTTAAGTAATAATATTTATAAAAAAATCTGATTGCTAAACGCATTTATTAAAATTAAAGTATTCATTTCGCCTGTATACTTCGACTTCACCCGAGTCGATGAAGCTACATCGATCCCTTGGTGCAATTTTTTAAATCAGCCAAGTAATTTTTGAGCCGATAATATTGGTACAGATATATATTAGAATCTAGAATATTTCCTAGTGTTTTTATAGTTTTTCTTCATCAAAACACATAAGATAGAGCCCTGCAAGATACAGTCAAATTAAAGTGACTTTTCATTATTTATCATGATACTAGCTTTGGGTGACAGACAGACGACAGAAACCTGAACGGTGTCCCGTTTACACTTTTCGTATAGAACCTTTAAATTGAACGTTACACATCATTACCAAAACGTGCTTGTAAATTTTTATAAATTAAGGGTAAAAAGAATAATTAATTTAAACCTATTCGTAATAGAAATACCATTAAAAGGAACCTTAATAGGTAATAACAAATATCGACATTATGTCACAAAGTAAATTATTCCGATGCTAATTACAAATCTCCACAAATAGGTTATAAATTAGAAGTTAAAAACCTAGAGGACAACTTAAAAAAAAATGTAAATATTTAACATTCCTACAATAAAAACGACACATCTATTAATCGTTGTTATTATCAAAGAAACTGAGACTCAACACTTTTTTAACATATGTGGTGCTAGAACAAAACAGGTCGACATTATAAGGTAGTCTATTAAATGTATGGCATGCTCGTATCACGAAAGTATTCGTTCTGTAACGTGTTCTGGCTGTCAAAGGACATAGAAGTGGTCTTTGTCTTAATCGAAGCTGGTTAGTTTTAAAGTTTAATAGAGATAGTAATTCAGAACAGTCAACCCTTCCGCAAGCGACATTAGACAGGTAACAGACATCACTAATCATTCTTCTTGTCTCCAACGGTAGAAAATGATACTTTTTGCATCTATGGTTGTAGTCAATAGAATACTGTTGAGATTTAAAATCTAGGAACCTAAGAAATCTTTTCTGAATACCCTCAATCCGAGTTATATAGGTTTGATATTGAGGATTCCAAATTTGAGATGCATATTCAAGGTGGCTTCGTACATAAGTGGAGTATAAGATTTTAAGCGTTTTAATGTTTCGGAAGTTAGCGGAACTGCGAATAATAAACCCCAGCGCTCGAGAAGCTTTTTTAACTATATAGTCTATATGTTTGTCAAATAATAATTTCGAGTCATGTATTACGCCAAGATCTTTAATTTCGTAAACTTTTGACAATTTATGATTTTTTAATGTATATGTGAAATTTATAATGTTATAACAGCGGGTGAAGGACATATAGAAACATTTCGCAACATTGAGATCTAGTTTGTTTTTTATGCAGTAACCTTCGAATCTACATAAATCAGCCTGAAGATCTCTAGCATCCAAGTCGTTGCGTATAATCTTTAATATTTTCATATCATCCGCGAATAAAATTATTTTGGAGTTGTGAAAACACTCAGCAATGTCATTCACAAATATCGCAAACAGTAAGGGTCCGAGTAGAGAACCCTGTGGTACCCCAGATGGTATATAGGTCCAATTTGATGTATAACCGTTTAACACCACAGCTTGACTGCGGTTTTCTATATACGAGGAGAACCATCGGAATAAGTCACCATGAATCCCCGCCATTGACAGTTTGTGTAAAAGCACGGTATGATCGATTCTATCAAAACACTTTCTGTAGTCAGTGTAGATGACATCTACCTGAGCTCGATCATCCATACCGGCGGTAATAAAGTTATTCGCGAGTGCCAGATTCGATACCGTTGATCGACCCTTCAGAAAACCATGCTGCTCCTCACTGAAAGAACATTTGAGTGCACCATAGACTTGATCGTAGATCAGTCGCTCCAAAACCTTAGCAAAGAGACAAAGCTTGGAGATAGGTCTATAGTTTTCTACGCATGCCTTGTCTCCTTGCTTAAAAATCGGCGTAATAAATGCTGATTTCCAAATTGCAGGAACGTGGCCCTCATTCATTGAACGCCTAAACAAAATACACAATGGTCCCAAAAGACTTTCAGCACAGCGTGTTATAAAAATTGGTGGTATGAGGTCAGGGCCACTCGATTTCGTCAGATCTAATGCCTTCAATAGCTTTAGGAGTATTTTGGGTTCCACCGTGCAAGAGGCGATGTTAACACCAGTATATTTCGAGAATTTAGGCGTTAAATTGTCTGATTTCGTGGCAACAGAGTCATTAAATGTCGATAGAAAGAATGAACCAAATAAATTACAAATACTCTGACCAGTGCTAGCCACTTCCTCGTTGTAATACATACGATTCGGGTATGCGCCTGATTTTTTCTTGTTTTTTACGTAAGTCCAGAAAATCTTGGGATCCTCAGTGATAAATTGTTCAATTGTTGATATATAATGATCAAAGCATTCCTTTTCAATATGAATGGCACGGCGGCGCAGTAATGAGAAAGAGTTGTAGTCTGATAGATTACCGTAAGTGCGATACTTCCGATGGCATTTATCCTTCTCTCTTAAAATTTTAATCAAAGCACTATTGTACCATGGTGGGTAAGATTTAGAAGTAATGGTTTTTTTAGGAACGTGTTTATCACGAAGTTCATAAAGTCGATTATAGAAATTAGTAATTGCGTTATCTAGTGGTACTCCATTCAAACAGCCGTTCCAGTCCGTATTAGAGAGTTCAGATGATATTATTGCATAATCAGCCGAATTAAATTTGTATGATATTCGGCGTTCTTGTGGTAATGTGTGAATTTCAACAAAGTCAGCACTAATAGAAATAGCTTTGTGGTGCAGGTCTTCCTTAAGAAGAGGAGAGTCACACTCGTGAACAATGACAGTGTCATTTGAGAGTACTAAATCAAGAGTTCGATGGAAATAATTGCTTATGTTGTTATATTGGCTAAGATTACATACGTTGAGCGTATCTATGAAGTTTACCACAAAGTCTTTGCTGGTAACCAATTCAGGTGTAAGTTCACCGTTCTCCTGTGTCGTCCAGTTAATATAGTCACGCAAATTGAAGTCTCCCAAAACAATGAATTTATCAATTGGATGTTGTAGAACCAGTTCTGATAATTTATTCAGAAAAGCTTCTAATTGAATTTTGTAACTGTTGCCGCCTCCTTCATTGATGAGATATACGGTACAAACGTGGATATTGTAGGATATTGGCGGTTTTTTATTATGTACTGATATTGTTATCCATATGTCCTCCGCCGTACTAGACCAATCACTTCTATGAATGACAGCAAGATCCCGCTTAACAGCAAACATGACCCCTCCACCTAAACTCTGTTTAGTACGGGAGTACTCACGATCACGTCGCCAGACCAAGTAACGCTCATCAAAAA